TAATTCTCACCTTAGATTCCAAACCAGATTTTTTTTTTTTTACAAAAATCAAGTGAGGTTTCAAAATAGCAAGACAATAGTACCCATGGGTGAATGGACCTGGTATGTGCAAATGAAACAGTAAAACACTGCATAAAGACATGTTACTAAATTTACCTTATGAATATTATAAGTTAGTGTGGGGAAACACAGTAACAGTGCAGATATTACTGCCACAATTTGTGTAAAAACAATAGGCAGAGACAAAGAGAAGAACCAAAGGCAGATATGCATGCAGACAGGCAGGCAGGGTCACAGGGTTAAATAAACTCTAATGAAAATACAAACAGCCAGTTACTGCGAGTCCAGGTAAATAGTATCAGCTTGGGAAAACAACAAAAGTCCAGGGAACAAAAGAAGCCCAAGAAAACAGGTCAAAACATGAGCGAACGGAAAATGACAGATAAATCTGGAACAAAGTGGTTATGAAAGAATGATAAACAATATGGCAAATGGCAAAAAGAAACAGGCCTGTATACAGTATATACTGGCAAACTGCTAAGTGGCACTGCTGCAGTAATGGGGTGTAATTGTTGCTTATAAAATTTAAAGTAAGCTTACAGAAGAAAAAAAAAATGTTGTAACACAATAGGCAGTGTTAAGTACTGTAGCTAAATGTTGTGGAGTATGTAACCAGGCAAAGTGACAAAAAATGCTTGGACTAATGATGAAGGTTTTTTTAATTGAATATGAATAATGTGAAAATATAAGCAAAGATTTATGACACCTTTATACACCTGGAAAAAAAACGACTCATTCTCCTGTAAAGCATGATAAACGTGCAGTTTTTTGAGTTTTACAATTTGTTGCAGAGTTGTGGAGACATCTTACAAAATAATAAAGGAGTGCACTTCATAAATCACTATCAACGAGGAGGACGCTAAGTCGACATAACATCAACAGCATCTATCATCGCTGGGTTAACAGGCAGGGCTGCAACACTGCAGGAAAGCACAGTTTAGAGGCAGAGACTCCATTAGCAGCAGCTACTGTTCTTCTTTAACTGGTTTACGAAAAGACAAAAGACATCTTTGTGCTTTGTGCTTTACAATAAAACATAATTGTAGGTCGTAATAATCTGCTCGCACAATTGACCTCTGGGGTCATTGTTTTTATGGCGGAACAGTCGTGAACATATCCATCTGGTGTTAGATATACAGCTGTACTGTAATGGAGGGGTAGTTCCGAGTCAGCGTTTCCAGTCCATCATAACAGGTTTGTCAAATGATAATATATGAGCAGAGATGGAAGTGTTCCTCCAAGATGAGAATAGTAGTGATTGGCTGTTAAAATCCAAAGTGTCCATTATAATGAAAATGAGAGGGCTCACAAGATGAAAGCGCCAAACAAGGCCTGTTACTGAATGCATCTGAATTCAGTGTTAAAAACAAAATGACTCAGGTGCTGTTGATGCTTGAAAATAAAATTAACAAACTAAGAAACACCCTAGTTTAAAATAATGCGCCAAGTAATGCAGCAATCAGGGAGCTAAACGCTAAGAAGTATCACTTGTACAAATTACCCAAAAGAAAAATGAGAAAAACGGTTGCTAATATCTTTATGACACTAAAAGGACAACACATGGTCCGTCAGCATGGCAAAGTTGAATATAGCCAGTGCTCTAAGTGTGACAATGAAACACGCTGGACAAAAAGGTACAAAGTCTATGACAAGGCAAAGCCAAAGGGAAGCTCACTGACAGAGGCCATAAGACAAATAAATTGCTCAGCAGGTCTGTAGTCAAAATTAAAGCACGGTGACAGTGCTCTACAACCCTCATACAAAGGCAATCTCTAGAGCTGCTTAACAAAAACTATTGGATGGTGCAAGAAGAACACGACTCAAGTCCTTTTAGATGAAAAAGCACAAGTATCCATTGCAAGTGTGACAGAAAACCAAAAACCTGCCTGAAGCAGAAATGAATCCAATTCATGACCTGCTAAGTAATGATGACCTTTTAGACTTATGACTCAAATCCCATGTTAACCCTGGGTTAAGGTTAGCTCTGTTTTCTATAATTCCAAATTTAAAATCACAAGCACTGACAAGATACATGGTCCCATTACTGGAGGGCAGAGACTGCTAAATGGGTTTAGTTCCAAGAGGAGAAATAAAGTCCATTATCTCACTGTTAAAACAGATGAGAAAACCTCCGCCAGTGCTAGCGTACAGAGGAACTCTGCAATGACTGTTAAAAACTGTCAGACACTGCCCCAAACACAGAAATGTCTCAAAGTAAACTCCAAGATAAATGCCCAAGGAGGTGCATTTACTGGCCACAAGGATCAAATTTAATGCATTAAAAGTCCAAAAATCGACATATTAACAGAGGATGTTCCATTTACCAGTGTATCTATAAAATCATTAACAGGTTAAAAAAAACAAAACACAAAGTCCATCTGCAAACCCACCTCCTCATGCATTTGCAGTGGTTTGTGAGGAATAAATAAAATCTATGATTTTGTGATAACAAGCATAAAAAGGCCATGTGCCATACCACACATCCAGGAGAAATATGATGGAAGTGTTTTGTTTATGCTACTGGATCAAGTCAAATCCACTTTTAGTGCAGCATCAGTCTTCACAACTCCAGAAGGACTCTAGGAAAGAAACAGAATGACATTTAGCTTTTCATTGGTTTTCAGCGGTCCAGTATATAATGGAAAAAAGCCAATAAGTTGTCAGTAACGAAATATATCGTACATACCATGCCAGATGGCTTGTCAGCAAGCATGAAAAATTAACATGGGACCGGGCAAAAGGTTAAGAAATGATTGCCAAGGAAACAACAGTGATGCATGGGCTTAATGCAAACCCATGCAAACATCAAATTAGTAATGTAGAGTGTGAATTTTGAACTTTGGTGTTCACATCACTTTGGTATTCACATCATTCTGTTGGTTTTATGTTCTTTTCCTTCTTAAAATATTATCAAATATTCTACATATTGTTACTGCTTATGCTGTGTTGTTGTTTCCAGGCAGATGCAGCTTTTAATTCTGTTTTGTACTGCACTTCTGGCTCTATCTTTTCATGAAAGGTTATAATTATAGTTATTAACAGTTCAACAGCAAACACTTTATAGTTTTGGCACATTTTCATGCAGATCCTCATTGCTGTGCCAAAATGGGATTGATTAAAAGGTGTGGACCTATGTTATTTAACTCATTTTAATTTTAATGTGTAGAATCTAGCATAAATAAGAACTGAGGTTAAACCTGTGTAAGGCTGCACTTAGTTTGAACAAAAATATATTACAGAATTGTACTCGCAACTACAATGTTTTGTAGATTTCCCAAAATAACCATTCTTTTAAATTCCCTGCACATTTAATAGGTTTTCACATAGGGGGGTGATTATATAGATAGATTGAACATTTTTGGGGGGCAGGTATGCTTTAATTTTGAAAATCTGCATCTCTTCAATGTGTTTTTGAAGGAAAAAGTGGAGGAGAAAAAGATGTCATAAGAAGAGAACACTGTTTCATATGACACAGGCTGATATACGTGACATGAGGCTTCAGGCTCTTGAAGATGAGATGAGAAACCATGACTGTGACGCTGAGTTCAGTAACACAACACCTCTCACCTGTTGCTTTCTGATCCCATGTCTGTCTTAGCTTATTCTTAAACATGTTTCACCGAAGTAATAAACATTTGAGCTCAAGCCTCTTGTGAGTTGTCCCTCTACTTTAAGGATACTTTCTTATTTGGTGCAGTTATAAATTCTAATTGGTTTGTGTCATTATTAATGCGAATATTATTGCAGTTTATTGAACAATAATAGGCTATTTTATTCCTTGTGTTGATGCAGAAATGTTCTGTAACTTGGATCCTGAATACACATATGTGTTTATAAATTGATGGACACTTCATCCTCTGTAATTTAATAATTACAGGGGATTACACTATTAGAATACATTAAAAAATGACTTAAAGGACAGATAAAATAAGTACTGGTGTGAATGTTCTAGGCAAAAAAAGAATAGAATACAGCAAAATGGAGCATTTCATGTTGTTCTGTACGCCTACCTCGGCTGGCACTGTTTGAAACAGGAATGGATTATTACTAAAAATGTGCTTCCTTCTATGACATCTGAACACACTCATTACAATTGCGAAACCATAGCTTCTGGGCAGAGTTACTGTCATACACCCATGGTTTTCTGACCAGAATAGAATATGAATGTCAAAATACAAAAAAAGAAGATCCCAACGATTCCCATTCTTTTATTTCTTCACCCCATTTTGCTGCATCTATTTACAGTTCTTTGCCGTCTTTTCTGCAGCCTTCTTTGTCATGCATGTTGACATCTACATTAATACTTCAGCCCATTCCTTATGTGATCTTTCGTTTGATATATCTAATCTGTGTAAATCTTTATTCTTGGATTACTGGCCCGTTTTATCAGGATGCTGGGTGGAATACAAATGCACAAAACATTTCTTTGTTTTTTAAATTCAGATCAGTTGGGAGATTTCACATATTCAGTTATATTTGGAAATGAGATATATTTAGTTTATAACTTTGAATAAGGAATAAAAATATTTGGGCTTAGTTACCATCTTGGTATTATGCATGAAAAGAGAAATGCGTTGGTTTGGGAAAACCAGCATCTTCTTTCAAGAACCTACGCAAAACCAAAATGACCTTTTTCTTTATTCATGGCCTGGTCAGGGTTTATAAAAGAAGTCAGCCTCTGAAGAATACTGATAGAATGGACATGATGGCAGGTAATACATCACACTTCAAGACAAAAGGAAAGTTCTGAATATGTTTTGTAATTGTGTAATTGACAGTGTATTTAGTTGGGCAAAGATTTTGATGTGCAGTATATTCACTGTGACAAAGATAAATCAGGTAGTACTAAAGCAAACAACAGAGAAATACATCAGGAGTTTGTGCTTTGCCCATGTTTTTACATTAGTATCTACCTGTAAACACTTGTTAAATTTGTGTTTATGTGGTTTTCCTCAGGCATGCAGAGGGCTGTGTGGGCTGTTTTGCTCTGGCCCTATCTGCTTACCTTATGCATCCCATTAGTCTGTAAGGAGGAGCAGGGCAGCCTCACCCGCTGCCCCTCCATCTCCCAAGAGAAGCTTCTAGACCGAGTCATCCAGCATGCTGAGCTCATCTACCGTGTCTCAGAAGAATCATGCTCTTTGTTTGTGAGTAACACCAACCAGTACCCTAAAAATGAATCTCTGCACTTGTGCACTGTAGGGGAAATGTTTCAGCAGACCTGTCGTATCCACAGGACCTTAGAGAATATGTTTACAAAATATAGCCTGAGGTTAAATTGAATCACTCTTCACAATGAGCATTACAGGGAAACAGACAGTTATTTTCTTTGTGCCTTAAATGAGACAATTCAAGAAGGATTTGGAATTAAGTGCAGACACAGTGAAACCAGCATTTTGAAAAGCAGTGCTGAAGACATCCATCTTTAAAAGCTCCAGCGACAGCAATGCAGAATTCTGTGAGAATGAGAATCTGTCTAATATTACTTTGTATGTATTACACAACAGAAAAACCTGTTAGTTATAAAAGTGAGTCAACTAGAGAGCAATGAAATTCTGCTGTTTTCTACTATGAGTTATGTTCTTAATAGCGAGCCCTACATTGCCTAAACATCGTGGAATCTTACATGCAATCCAGCAACACTAGGAAGGGGTTCTACAGTGACAGCAAAAGGGATTTTTGTTGGCCCTTTTCACAGTATATTGGACCAAAAGCGGTGACACTTTCTGTTACACAGTGTGTTATTTGCTTTTGATTCTGACATGATCATCACTTCACTGCCGGGCTTCAGAGTAATCTTCTATTTCTCTTGTGAGCCAAAGATGTTTTATTGAAGAATCAAGCCTACAGTGGAGTTGTACGAATGTGATAATGATATACTGCAGTAGTGAGAGCACAGGTTTTGCAGCCTGATGAATCCCAATTGCACTGCGGCTTCAGATCCAAAATGGTCTTTGAAATTGGATGATGTAGGGCTTGTTACTGAGAAGACGCTGCACAGGGTCTACAGATGAGAACAAGCTGGAGAACAAAAATGGTCTCTGCTGCGTCTCCAGTGACCAAGCCTGGTGAAGCTTTTGTCATTGTTTTCCGGATGTTTTTTTTTTTTTTTTTGTGTCTGTCTGGAATTGTGTGTTCTTGTAATTTTATAGATAAGAGAACTAAAGGTTTTCAGACAGGTTATGGGAAAAAATCCAGTACAGTGTTGTTGCCCTGTTTTGTACTAAACTGTAACCATTTTAATATATTGTCTAAAACCAACAGAATCTCTTGAACATTCTTTGCTCTGGAATATAGTTAGTAAACTTAACAAAAAATCAAACTTATTCTTAATTTTACCTGTCAAAGATGAAGGTTTAGGATAAATGGGTCAATGAGTCAAAGTTATCACAATTGCTGTATGTACAGTATGCGTTAGCATGCATGCACTTCATTGGTTTGTGCAGGAGATGTTTGTCCCCTTTCCAATGCGACTCCAGAGGAATCAGGCTGGCTATGCATGCATCACCAAAGAATTACCCATCCCTAGCTCCAAAAGTGAAATCCAACAGATGTCTGTAAGTGCATAGCCACTGATAACCACACAGTAAAATATCATATGTTTTGTTTCTTTTGTCACATCTTTTATCTTCATCTGTTAGGTGTGGCATTGTGGGTGCACCTCTGTTTGTGTGTATATGCAGCCATGTGCATGTGTTTGTGTTTGTGTGCATGCTTTTGCATAGTGTTGATGCATGAATGATGGCATACACATCCTGCAGCTGCACTGGTGCTGGCAGCCTGAGTTTTATTTTTGTAAGTGTGTAAGTGAATGCCTTGTCAGCTGCTGAATGGTCAGTTGTTTGCATAAATTACACACACACACACTGTGTTTTCATTCTTTCTGGGCACTTTACATAGACTTACATTCATTTCCTGTAGACTTATCCTAACCTTAACCATAACCACTACTTGCCTAACCCTAACCCTTCACCTACCATTTAACCTTAAACCATGTTGCCACCCTAGAATTCAATGATTTTCATGTGGGGACCAGCCTCTGGTCTCTTCTGAGCCTCTGGTCACCACAAGGATGGCCGAGTCCCCACAGTGTTAATGCATTAACAGGTTTCGGTCCCCATAATGTAATACAAAGACACACTTATACACACACACACACACACAAAGTTCCTCAAATCTCAAAAACGTATAAGATTTCTTAACACTTTGGTCTGTACCAACTAAGGTTTTGTCTGCTGTCCAGCAGAGCCCAGTCTTTTATCTGAAGAGAAAGGTCGGCTGAGCCACTAGAGTGGAAACTAGACTGAGCCAAAGGCAATGATGGGCGATTTGGCTGATGTCAACTGTAATTTGGTCAATGTGAAGTTCCACAGTACTGCAGTTACACATAACAAAGGCCAAGTGTATATAGCATAAGCAAGTTTTAAGGACTCATTTTTAGTAATACTGAAACTGCTGATTGAACGTTGTGTCATCACTATAATAGTAAATGTGATCTTTGAAACTGCATATACTGCAAGGCTCATCGTTATGTTAGTAATTTATCCTCTGCCCTTTCTGTTGATATATTGCTGGCTCGGCAGTTTAATGACCATTTGCGTGGTGGTCATTTGCACTTGCTTTAGAGTCTGCTCTGCCTAGGGGAATTTAGGCAGGCTCAGCTGCTGCACCCATGACATTTCAGCCAGCTTTTGCTGCAGAAGGTATTGTGGCTGAGAAGCCCTTGATCATAAGCCATGCTGTTACTAAGTTCTTCATTCTTTTTTAATCACTAGTGTTTATGATTTACTTTATCTTACAGACATTCTGAAGGGCAATGGCTGCTATTCATTACAGATACAAATGATTGCACAATAACATAAATACAAGAAGCTCATTTTTACTGTTTCTGTTTTGTTTTGCTGTGTTGTGTAATGTTTTGGAGTGTGTTTTTACATTTCCAACTTTATGACAATCATTAATTCAGTTTTGTTTTAATTCTAACTCTTTACCAATGTGCCTTGCAGGACAAATGGTTGCTCCACTCTGTGCTCATGCTGGTCCGGTCATGGATCGAGCCTTTGGTTTACCTGCAGACTACGCTAGATCTCTATGATGATGCTTCTGAAGTGCTGCTCAACAAGACCAAGTGGGTCTCTGAGAAACTACTCAGTCTGGAGCAAGGGGTGATGGTCCTTATCAAAAAGGTGGGTCAAATCACAGTACACTTCATTTTAAAGTCATCTTAAATTTCAGGCACCATAATGATGTTCCCATGTTGTAATAACTCATAATATAATAACTGTATATGAAAAAGTACTAAAATCTGTTATTGCAATAATCATCCAATAATATAATAAAAATGATTAGCAATAACACAACATAACTTTTAACTTGCAATGTAATAACGTATAAAGTTTTGCCAAAGTTATTACATTATGAACATTGTGGCAAGTTATTGTTTAAAATGAAAAAAAAAATGAAATAGATAAACTAGATAACTAGATTGTTGAATTTGTTTTGCTTATGTTCTTTACTGCTCTGAACCCAGATAGCTGGAAAAAACAGGCACTTATTCCAGAATATCTTATGTAAGACTACATTTCAGCTCAAGGTTGCAATGATTTCTTTTTTAGTCATACACATTATACAGAAATAACTAATGTCAAGTATTTATAATATCAATCAATGTGTTGTTTAAAGAATACAGTCATATTATCATGTCCCGGTGTGGTTAAGTCAGGTTTATAACAACTGTTCAGAAATATACTGTATGAGGTGATCATAATTTTAATATATTATTGGAAGAATAATACAATATATGCTTTATTTATTACATTATGAGTTGTTTTACAGCCATTGTATGTTAGAAATTTTCTTTTTCTAATCGTTCACTTTACAAGACAATACATTCCTTTTTCATTATTGTTTTTTTAAATATTTCTGTCGTGTTTCCAAACGTTGCTGTGCAGATGCTGGATGAGGGAATGCTACCCACAACCTACAGTGAGCAAGGCCTATTACATAATGATGGGCAGCCAGAGATGCTGGAATCTGTTATGAGAGACTATACCTTACTCAGCTGTTTCAAGAAAGATGCCCATAAGATGGAGACCTTCCTCAAGCTTCTCAAGTGTCGACAAACTGACATATATAACTGTGCATAAAACACAGTGCAGCTTTTAATTAATCCAGTGCTTAGTTTTAAATGAATTCCTAAGGTTGGTAGCTGTGCATTTATGGATATGTTCGTGCCTTAGGCGATTCAGACTTGCTTGCAATGCAGTATTGTTTATTGATTGTTTCAGGGCACCTTCACACACAACTAGCTAGGTAGGTGTTATGCCCTTTCTTCAACACCACATTTTATATTTCCCAGCTCAGTTGTTATTTTAACCTGGAAAAGGCAACAGAGGGCAAACTCCCAAAAGATTAGTTTCTCGTTGACATGTCAAAAAAATCTGCATATCCTGCCATTGATTTCCATTTTCTTTGTTCTTAACTGGATGTTGTATTGCTCGCTGGATCCTGCAGTGTTCTGATTATTCCCACGGCCCCGAGAGTATTCAGTGAGACTCCCGTTTTAAATAGAGTTGGTATCACCGCTGCATTAGTGAAATGAAACACTTTCACCGGAGATGGGAGTCAAACAGGGAGCAATCACTATTTAGAAAAAGAGACACATTTTGATTGGTGAACGAGAGTGTGAGAGAGACAGAAGAAGTGAACAAATAATAGCAAAAACGACAGTTTTGTGGAGTTTTGGATAGACTGGTTCAGATTTGTTGGCCACTCATCAGAAATTCATGAACATATCTAAATGTACTTAATCTAACCTGAATGGGATAGAGGTTTATTAAGAATACTTTTAATTAACTTTAAATTAGCATGAAATATAACACTTAAACTTTAATGTTATAAAAATGGCATTACAGTGTAATGCAGAATGCAAATTATACTCCTATTTTTAAATAAAAGAAGTCCACTGTATGGTGAAAAACTTTCTGTTGATTTAGCAAGCTAATAAAGCAAGTTGTTAAAAAATGGTTTTGATTGTGTTATCTTTTGAGTGAGTGGAGAAAATCCATGTCTTTATCCCACTTATAATTCCACAGATGGGGTAAAACCAAGATTTAATCAAGTGTAATTTCCAGGTGCTCACTTCTGTCTTTTCCACCCCAAACACAAGAGGGCAGTAGTGCTCTGTCAAGGAGCTCATTTTAATCATTAATTTGTCTACTCTTAAGTATTTTATGACACTGTCTTGTTTTTACATATGCTAAACTAAAAAGCACTGGATTCATAAAGACAAAATGTAACTGCCAAAGATTTTGTTTGTATTTACACAGAAGGCAACCAGAAGCCTTTGCTTACTGTTAATAAAATCAATTCCTCTTTTAATTCCTCAGTGCAAATACCATAGTAATCATCCATTACTAAATATAATATAGATCCATGTTATCCCGGAAGCCAAAATAAAACACCTGCAGTTATCCATTTTGCAGCTAATAGGCTTCACATTAGCAGAATTATTTATTTATCCTATTTACATCTGCCATCACACCAGACAGGGAAACGAAAAGGAAGCAGTTGCCATTTTTATTTCATTTTTTACACTCATCTCAGGTTTCTTCTTGGCTTTTTTTCACTTTCCTCCATCCTCTGTAACCATATCAGAAGATGTAAATCAGCCATGCGGTTGCCACAGCGAGTCGAGTGTCAGCGTCGCGAGGTGGTGTCATGTGGTGTGGGTAGATACTGAGGCAGGATGTGGTAGGGGGGCCTAGTGTCAGCAATGTCAGGTTCAGCTTCCTGTGGCCTAATCACTTCAGTATGGGGCTCAGAGGAGATTGGGTAGCCTCTGTTATGCTCTGCAGGGCTGCAGCACCGAAGCTTAAACCTTGTAGTTCAACCCTCACTTTATTTGATTCCTAACAACACATGAGCAATCATAGGCAAGGTACAGCCCTGTTGCCCCACCCATTTTCAAGCTTGAGGCCATAAATAATAAAGATAGTCTATAAGTAGAAAGAGAAGGGATGGGATAAGTGGAGGGGGAGGAAGATGCTGGGGAGTGGAAGGGGAAAGAAGGACACAAGGATGAAGGGAGGGGTGTAGGACTTGGGTGATTTCACAGTCTAACTATTATAACCTGAGGAAAGGAAATCTAGACTGCTGGGATGCATAAGTGGAGCAGAGGAGGCAGACAGAGAAGGAGAGGGAGAAAAAAGAAGCAGGAAACAAAGAAAATAAGAGAAGCAGGCAAAGAGAGATAAAGAGGACAGTTGTTTTTGTTTTTAAATAGGTGGTAATGTGAAATGTGTCAATCAAATGGAGAGGCAGAAAAGTAGAAATGAGATAAGTCTGGGAGTGGGTCTGAACACAGCTCTGAGTTGTGTCACATGCCGGGAAGTAGATTGGAGTTAGAGAGAAAATGGATGGCTGGGAGGCAGGTACACAACTACAGCTAGATGAGTAAGACTGGGAAGTGGTGCTGGCTTGATATGAAACTAAGACTGAATGTATGAAGTCCTTGAGCCTCCACTGCTTGGCTGACTCCCTCAGTGTAGTTGGGCTTTCATTTATGGCTCAAAATGACAGCTTGGAAAGACCTAAAACAGTCTCAAAGCCCCTGTATAATCTTCACACTCAAACCAAGTAGCAGCAGCTCTGTGCATTTCCTTCCTCCTCATTTTCCATGCTTTAATGACATATTCAAGCTGTAGCAAAAACTTGTAATTTAAAGGATTTATGTTTGTTGATATAGAAGTAGAAAACAGAAAGAGCAGAGGTGAGAGAGAAAGAACACGCTTTGCATCTCAGCATCTGACAGCCCAGGCTGCTGCGTTGTTTCTGTCATACTGCTGTAAACCAGATGGAATTTGTTTGGGACGTCAAAGAATGGCATGAGGTCTCTTATAGCACCAACCAACTAATCAGTAGCTCAGTACACCTGGGATACATGACGCACAGCTGCTGATGTTTGCATATGTGTACATTCATCCTAAGGTCTGGCATGTCTGTTAAGCCAGAAACAAACCTCTAAACCTCTGGATGTCCAGTCTCCCCTCACTCTGTCTTTTGGCTCCGCAGGCAAAGCATCTTTTTGGTGCTGTGTGGAGACCCTCAAAGGTCAGCAGGTCCTGGAGATCAAGACCATCCTAACTGCTCCAGTGTGTTAAAGGATGTCAAGCAGTAAAAGCAGCAGGCTCAGGTTTCTCCTAGGAAAGAAAATGTTATAGTGGGTGATGATGACACAGCTGAAAACATTCCTCAAGGAATTCCTCGAGGAAACATTAGCATATAACAGAAACAAAAACATGGAGGAAATGTAAATGAATTAGTTTGTTCTTTTGATAGATAATTGAACTAATAATTACATTGCAGCCTTTAGAGAAAGCTAAAACATAAATGAAGCAAATTTTCCTTGGGTGAAGTAACTATTTGGTGCTGTGTCTTTGTTTACCTGACTGTTAAATCAATGCACTGTTTTCTGAAAGCTTCCTCTGCAGTGGTTTTCACAGGTTGTTGCTATTATGTAACTGCCTCAGCGTGCAGCTAGGGGAATGTGCCAGTCATGGTGAAACAAACCCTATACACTGCCTCCTGGTTTGCAGCAAGTGAATTTTGTAAATGGCGAGATTTACACAACCAGGAAATTAGGTGATTAAACAGGCTGATCTCAGCAGGGAAACTGTTGTCAGTCATCCCAAACTGAAGCCTTTCACCGTGGTAGAGAGTCACGCATCTGTTGTCCTGCAGAGAATTCCAAAGCCAAGTCACAGATGAGATATTGCTGGAAATGGTCAAGTATTTTAAATGTAGCTAAACTCGCCCTGTGGACCAGGGCTTGAAACACTTTGATGGATATTATGACCAATTTTCAAAAAAGGAAGTGCTGAATCATTCTTTGGGATGTTGGGTCCAAAACAAAGTCCAGCAATCATGTCATTTTAAGTGCTGTTGCTTGAAATTAGGTGGTGAGTGTAAGAGGCTAAAATACATAACTCAAAGTGTTGAGCCAACACAGTACAGTTCTAACACCACCTGCCATTGTCTGCCCAATTTTCAGTACCATTTCTTTTAGCATATATGTCAATACACAGCTTGGATCTTTAATGTTCCTCAGTCAGAAATCACTTATAATTTGTTATTTGAGTGCTATTGACTTTAACACAGTTAAATAAAGTTTTTTTATGTTTCATTTGCAGTTTGCAAGTTTGTTTTGGCTCATCCTCAAATAAATAAATAAATATGCAAGCTGTCTGTTGTTTTTGTTATAGAGCATAGAGATGCTTCCATTCATCAGCTCACTGTGGACAAAAGAATAACAAAAGAAACACATCTTGACTGTATCTAAACCAGCGGCTAAGGAACAAACCCCTCCACTTTAAAAAGGAAAAGCAAAGAATGCAGACAGATGCCAAAAGAAGCTGAACTTAAATCAATGTAATTTCCTCTCTTCACATCTCTAGCCAGAAGGACCTTTTCGTGTTTTCCACCACTTTCTTTTCTTTGTGAAAAAAAAAAAAATCATATATTTCTGCCACAATATACTGTAAATCACAATGCACATGAATGGTCTGAGCTAATAAGAGAAGGGGGCGGGGGATTGTAGAAGGGCATATATTTGTCTTTCTGCCGGTATGCATCTGCTTATGTTTTTCTCAGATCATGATTCAGGCCTAAAAATCTAGTGTATTTCTTTCACTTCAGGAAACACTTTCATAACTTCAAATATCATAATTTCCTTTTTGGAAAGATGCCGGGGATTATCCATGTGTATTTGGCTTTCATTTATCAGTTCGCTTCCCCTGAAAGAAAAGGACTGCAGAAAAAAGGGGAAGTTCACAAGTAGTAAATGGTTGGACCTCTGGCCTCTGATCCTAAATAGGTTTTGATAGGTGTGGTGAATTCAGTTTCGGCTCAGAGATTATGATTTACTGCCTCTCTGGTTTGGCTGCAGGAAAGCAGCACTCACATCCTCTGCCTATTTTTCTGTTTGTTTTGCCTTCCCTTAAAATATAAAAGATATGCAGGAGGAATACTTTCCTTCTCTTACAGTATAGGGCTATAAAGAGGAAAGGTGGAGGCTGGGTGAGTTTAATGCACTTCAATTAGATTGAATTGGATTGATGACAATATGAAATATTTATTTTAATAGACAAGCACCAATTATTGTCTAATATAGTACATCAAGTGAAAATGGGGCACGGTGTGATGTCTCTCCGCTATTCTACCCCTCTTCATGACACCCTGACACCTTTTTTTTAAACTCTGTTTTAACAATATAGGTTCTTATAGGTTATAAGAATTATTTTAGTCATGGCAAACAACCAGTCACGAAGGACCTTTCGGCTGAAACAGTCCGAAACAGCAGCTGCAAAAAGACTTGGTGTTATTCTGCACAGAGAGAATGGGCAAAGAAAGAACAAAAACCAGGGTTAACATCAGTTTGACTTTGTGAGATGCTGATGATTAAAAGCAGCCTAAGGGCTCAAATTTGATTTAGATGTGCCCTTCTCCTTTCTGGATTAGTAAAGCTAATATGTTTGCCAGCATAGTCATGATTTTTACCTCCATATTGAATTTATTTGATTTTATTTTTGGAGTAATTCAGGCTTTTTGTAAAACTCTTTTGTGAAGCAGCAGTGGTTAAAACACTTTCAAATGAAAGGGGAGTCACACAGGGTCAAGCACAGGTCTTGATCTCCATTTGTGGCTTTCATATGTGCCCTCTACAGCTGATTGACTGTTTATGTAGAATCATAGAATCATTAACAGACCACTGAAGGTGGATCAGTTTTCATGTGGAATCTGATAAAGACTGAGGTCAAACACTATTTGACAATAATAGAAGAAGAGTAATATTTTTGGTTCCAAAGCAGCAGAGACATTGCATCAGGTTATGTCATGACACCAAACAGTAGTGGTGAAGAGAGTATAGTGAAGAGAAAGCATGAATGTAGTTCCAATTTGTGTGTGTGTGTGTGTGTGTGTGTAAGTAAAATTGTGGCTAGAAAA